TCACTCACTGTCACACACTCACACACTCACTCACTCACACACACACTCACTCACACACTCACTCACTCACTCACTCACTCACTCACTCACACACTCAGTCACTCACTCACTCACTCACTCACACACTCACTCACTCACTCACTCACTCACACACTCACTCACTCACTCACTCACTCACTCACTCACTCACACAAACACTCACTCACTCACTCACTCTCACTCACTCACTCACTCACACACACACACACACACACACACACACACACACACACACACACTCACTCACTCACTCACTCACTCACTCACACAAACACTCACTCACTCACTCACTCTCACTCACTCACTCACTCACTCACACACACACACACACACACACACACACACACACACACACACACACACACACACACACACACACACACACACACACACACACACACACTCACTCACTCACACACCAGTGTTAATTTTGTCAGCAAATTTTGATTTAGTTTTAGTCTTAGTCTTTTGACTAAAATGCCATTTAGTTTTAGTCATATTTTAGTCATCTGAATTGTTTTAGTTTTAGTCTAGTTTTAGTCGACGAAATACAATAACATTTTAGTCGACTAAATCTACAGTAGATTTAGTCGACTAAAATATAATGGGTTTAGTTCAATTGTAATGCGTTAATTTAGAATTTCTCTAAAATTTCCAAACCCATACTCCCGGAGAAAACATCTATTAACCTATTAATATGAATGATTTTTAAGTTTGAACATGCAATACAGATACAGATTTAACTACTGTGACTTAAAAAATATCTTAAAATGAAATAAAACCACTTTTCCTAAAGTACAACACAGTCTTCTTTACGATGAATGATATATTCATTCCTTATAACTACTTACACATCATTCTTTATTCTTTCAAGCAGACATATTTATTTGTATGAATTAAATATAATTAATCCTTATTAAAGCTATTAACAAACAGTGAATGCTTTTCTCTTTTTCTTTTGTTGCTTGATCAAAATTAAGGACACGGACCGCATTAGGTTTATTGCCACTGTCACTTTAAGACGTCGGATCCTGTCCAATGACATGCGGATACAATTGCACTGATGCACATCCGACACACTCACAGTTTAAGACATAACCAGCATAGTTTACATGAATACTCTCTAAAACGGACATTTAGACATACTGTTGTGTATTTCTCCATTCAGACACGAAAGAGAGCTCAATTCAGTAGCCTACTCGCGCGCTGTAGGTGTATTGTGCATGACTGCACGCTTCGGGTTAGGTGTGTGCGCACAGAAAACCGCACCGAGAGCTCTTTTTTGCATCGTCACTCTTATTCAGAGATCTATATGTCTGCTCTACTCATTCTCCCAGACATTCACATTTTTTAACGTTTTATGACCGCGGGGTAGATCACGTTACAGTAGCCTACAAATGTGCGCATCTACCACACACGCAGGACATCAGTTCTGACGGATCGCTTCCCAAATCGTCACTATCTAACATTTTCGTCTAGTTTTTATTCGTTGACGAAAATGTCAATAGATTTTCGTCATAGTCTTTGTCATTCAAAACTAGGTTTTATTTAGTTATCGTCTCGTTTTCGTCTGTGAAAAAATGTCGTTGACGAATAATTTTCATCGTTATTTTCGTCAACGAAATTAACACTGTCACACACACACTCACACACACACACACTCACTCACTCACTCGCTCACTCACTCACACACACACACTCTCACTCACACACATCACTGAACATCTGTAATCATGAGTTATTTCTGCAGTGCATCAGATGTGACTCAGCGCTGAAGCCTCAGAGGATCAGAGAGTCATTATTACATCAGCTCTGTTCTCGTCTGAGAGTTTAATCAATAACATTACTGAATATTGAGTGTCTTTTAAAGACTGAGATGAGAGTAAATCACATCCATGTTGATTGAGTTTGAGCAGAGATGGTGGAGGGATTATTAGATCATGAGTGGATGTATAATATAAGGGAGTGTGTGTGTGTGATTGCAGGAAGAGACAGCGAGAAGAAGAGATCGAGACGCAGGAGAAAGCCAAGCGAGAGCGAGAGTGGCAGAAGAACTTCGAGGTTCGACAGTTCAGTGGTTCTCCAGACGGGTGCGAGACGCTCGTGTTTCACCGTGTGTGTGTGTGTGTGTCCTCAGGAGACGCGTGACGGCCGAGTGGACAGCTGGAGGAACTTCCAGGCCAAAGGAAAGACTAAGAAAGAGAAGAAGAACCGAACGTTCCTGAAGCCGCCGAAGGTGAAGATGGAGCAGCGCGAGTGACGATCACATGACCTCCTGTACATATCCCACCCGGAGGAGCTGCGCTTGCATCGTCTTCATGTAGGACATAGAGACAAACATCCACAGTTCTTCTTCTTTTATTCCTGACATGCTGTTTTTCTTCTACAAATAAACATTTGTTTGTAGATATTTTGTTGTAGTTTTTATAATGTAAACAATTAAAACATTGTTTTTGTCCGACTGTACGAGTGTTATGGCATTCAGCTGATTGATTGATTGTGAGAGGAAGAATTTTTATATTAAAAGGGTGAATCTGGAGTCGGTGTTTCACAATTGAACTTCAAAAATGAGTGTGTGTGTCAGTGCTGTGCTTATCATCATCAGGATCAACCCTATCTGGAAAATAATTCCACCTTTAACACACACACACACACACACACACACACACACCATAATGACATAAACGCCCTTAAACCACACTGAGAATATCTGATATTGCTGCGTTCACGTGCTATCAGAATTATCGTAAATACGAGTTTCCTAGTCGGGCTGAACTTTAAACATGGCAGAGAATGATTGTGTTTTATACTCAGTGATCCTTCCTTCATGTCATAGAGTTTCCAAGTTGGAAATTTCCTAGTTGAAGTTGGAAATACGACTTGAGAGGGCGTTCATGTCCAATTTCAGACTAGGAAACTCGTTGAAAAGAAACTTAACCATAATGACATTCCATCAGTTTTAACGCTCGGGTCTCTAGTGCAGAGAATACATATCACTCATTCGTTAATTTGAGTAACATAAATATCGTGACTCTTTCAAACGTTGATCTATGAACGGGTTTGAGTTCGAGACCGGTTTGCCAACCAATCAGTGGGAGAGTTTTAAGTGGAATCTTTTTTTCTTTTTTCAGTTGTGCAAAATCTCATTAAATCTATTTAAACAAGAAGTAAATCAAGTGCTGTAAGTTTATACAACATAATATCGTTATACATTTAAGACTCTTTAAAGCATTGACTTTAAAAAACAATTAAGACTTGGAGGAACCCTGTATATTTACTTTTATTAATTTTATTCATCACTTTTATCCGAAGTGAAAAATTAGGAACTTACAAGCAATTTTTCTTAGGAACCAATGATGTTTAAAGCACACAAGGACAAGTGTGAAGTGTGAACTTGGTTATGCTGCCTATTGGAATTATCATATATGTTTATGTTGTGTACCGGTATTGTGTTTTATACAAAGAGTTTCCCAAAGTCACAACACTATAATGAGCCCTTAATCATTAAAGAAAAATGTTCCCTTATAAAAACATGAACCTTGAATGGACCGTAAGTGGCTTTGGATAAAGCTTCCCAAGGCATTTGTGTAAATACTGACTGCAGACGAACCCAAACATCTTTGACTTTATGAATAATGTTTCCGATGAGGACTTTCCCAGAGGAAGGGTTTGTCAGATTTAGGTCACACTTGGAGACAGTGTTATCCTCAAACTATCACTAAACACACACAACCCGACGAGACAATAGTCACCCTGATCTCAGACGGGTTTGTGCTGCTCAGACTCAGAGGGTTATTGGTGTCGATCTGGAGCCGCTTAGGAGCTCAATCCTGCAGACGGAGGAGTTTCTCTCCAGCGTTCCTGATCAGCAGATTCCCCAGGAGCAGCTCTGGACTGATGATTACTAGTCGAAAATTCCTAAGTCCGAAATTCTGAATTTTCTGGTCCGAAATTCCAAGTCAGAGTTTCCTAGTTGGACATTACCTAGTTGGAGTTGGAAATTGGACATGATCGCCCTCTCAAGTCATATTTACCACTGGGAAACTCAGAGCTAATTTTGATACCAGAGTTTCTGAGTTGGGCGGTCCATCAACTTTAAACATGGCGGAGGGGAGAAGGATTGCTGCAGTGACTGGTGTTCTTTATTAGTTTTTCCACATCGGCTTGTCATTAAATTAGTGCATATTTACATATATGAATAATCATTTGAAGCATATTGTGTTTCATGCACAGTGATGCTACCTTCACATGCTTTTAGAAAGTTTCCTAGTCTGAGTTTCCAGGTTAAAAATTTCATGATAGAAAACTCCTAGTTGGAGTTGGAAATTGCAGGGCCGGCGATTGCTATAGGCGAACTAGGCGGTTGCCTAGGGCGACAAATGTGTTGGGGGCGCGGGCGCCCTCTAGTGTCGCCCCTGGCCTACTTCCCATTAATCATAGAATTAGAATGACAAGCGAAACAAAAACATGTTTATTAAACATGATCATCCTAAGGCGCCCCTCAGCCATACGTTTAATTACTTGTCAATCTGATTATTAGATTGAATGGATGATTATTGTCGATCATTTCCTAAAGGGGGGGGCGGGGGTTAGTTGCGTTACGTTACGTTCTATGGTTACGTTAGGCGAGTGCTCGGCTGCTGCGCGCGCTGATGGAAAATGAAGCGGTCTAAACCCTCTGGTGCACAGGGACGAAAACGGAGAAAGCAACAAGATAAAAAGAAAGCCCAGTATAGAGGTAAGTCTTCTCATCTCATCCATTAAGGTGTCAAATGTTCTGGCCATCGGGACAACCGGGAGATTCCCGCGGGGCCGACGTGCTTTTTGGGCCGATACATACATCTCATACTTTTATTTTTCTATTTTTGTCTTAACGGCCCATAAAACTCGTACATCGGTGGTACTCGTACTCTTACAAAACATTCGTTTTGTTTTGTTTTGCTTAATTGGCGGCGCTGGGTTACTTCCTATAACTTACTTTCAAGTATAGAAATGTGTACAATACTCATGAAAGTTTCCTTTATTTTTCAGTGCATTTGTTTTACAATATAGCCTATGGCAATTACTGTCATGGGATTAATATTATATCTATTATTATTTAGTAGTGTAATGTAGACAGACACTGTAATTAAAAGAGGTTTGAATTTTTCTTTGTTCAATTTGCACACTGAATATGGGTTGGAGCTTTTAGTTTTGAACTCTCAAAGTGCACCAGATTGATGAATTTAACATTAAAATGCACAAAATTTTCTTACGGGGAAATACCCCGAAACCCCCTTAACCTTGTAGCAGACTAATAGATTGTAATAATAGTAGGCCTAGTGGTGGTAGTAGTTGTAATTTATCTACTAAAAGTTATTTATGGTCAGATAAAATATAGTTGTACAATGCAACTATGATATAAATATCCTTGAACGTTCTTTGTAGCATTTGTATGAACGATTTATTGTTTAAGTTTTTGAGTAACTATAAGAGCATGTTTAGTTTAATAAATGCTTATAATTTTTTTAAGGGGGGGGCAAAACTCAATATCGCCTAGGGCAACCAAAGGGTTAGAGCCGGCCCTGGGAAATTGGACATGATCGCCCTCTCAAGTCGTATTTACTACTGGGAAACTCTGAGATAATTTTGATACCCAAGTTTCTGAGTTGGGCATGAGATAAATTTTAAACATGGCGGAGGGGAGAACGATTGCTTCTGCGACTGCTATTTTTTTATTAGTTTTTCCACATCAGCTTCATCACCGTGTCTTGTTATTAAAGCTGCAGTCCGTAGCTTTTTTAAGTTAAAAATAATCCAAAATAATTATATTAAAAAAAACTTATTCTGCCAGTGGTCAAAACTCTCTGCTTGCCACAGCTAGATTCAAAACGGTTAGCTTGTAATAATGATTTTAATTCCAGTGGTACTGGTGGGTTTCCGCGGGAGATTCGAGCATGTCTTTGCGTCATGACGTCACACCCGTACACATAAAGAAGGAGTTTCGGCTAGCCGGCTATACTGCGCGTGACGAGATGTTTAGATGTATAGGCTTTTCTCGCAGCACTTTACATGATTAAACTTATGGCATCCAGAAAGATCCAAACAACAATCATCAGTGTCAACTGGAGATTCAGCAGTTATAAAACCCAAAAGACTTCGTTCTTCGGATTTAAGGTGGAAAGAGAAAGAGAAAGAAACCGTCTCATGCGAACACAAGGATTTAAACATCGGCGGGGCTTTTGAAAAGTGCGTGAACTCCGTGTTTTGAAGGGGTTCGAGACGGAAGAAGAGACGGCTTTTTTCTGCTGAACAAGTAAGACATTTCAATAGTTCAATCGTGTAACAGTACGTTTTCTTAATTCACACAGTTATGGAGTTTCCTTTGTTGTGCCTTTCTCGTTTTGCTATTATGGAGAATATGAATTCTGAACTACACAGGTAACCATAAAACACATTAAATGTAACAGTAGTCACGCAATGCTGATGTTGTTAACATGAACAATTTGAGAACAAAGTAGGCTATAATTTGCACGGTTGCTGTAAATCGCGTTGATTAAATCTAACGAAGCTTATCATGTCGAATGCTTTTCCCCCTTAGTTGGTCAGAACAAAAATGGATGTTACTTACTTGTTCAGAAGACATTTTCTTATGAAAATTCTTATGTTGGTCAAACTTTCACAAAGTGAATCTGTGATTCTGTATGCCAGTATCCACACAGCGCGGTGACTGACAGCAGCACTCGCCTCAAAGCACTGTGTTCATCCGCGCTGTTTCATGCCGATTTACAACCCACGTAAAGATGATAATTCCACGAATCACTGCAGTTACAGATTTCGAACAGAGAGATGGCGACAAAGAGGAAAAGTTATGGACTGGAGCTTTAAAGTAGTACATATTTACATATATGAATAATAATTTAAAGCATATTGTATGCTTTATAGACAGTGATGCTGCCAGAGTTTCCTAGTTGGACATTTTCTATTCTGAGTTTCCAATTTTTTAATTTCCTAGTCGGAGTTGGAAATTGGACATGAACAACCTCGAATAAAGTCGTATTTACTACTGGGAAACTCTGAGAAAGTTTTGATACCCAAGTTTACCATGGATGAACTTTAAACATGGCATGGGGTGAACGATTGTATGTTTTATACACAGTGATGATTTCTTCATGTGCTATTGGAATTATCGTAAATACGAGTTTCCTAGTTGAAGTTGTAAATACGACTTGAGAGGGCGTTCATGTCCAATTTCCAATTAGGAAACTCAGGCTAGGAAACTCGTTTTAACGATAATTCCAATTGCATGTGAAAGATAATTAATCATAATGACATTAAATCAGTTATAACTTTCTCAGGTCATATTGTGACTGCTATTGGAATTATCATAAATATGAGTTTCCTAGTCGGAAATTCAGCACGAATACCCTCTCAAGTTGTATTTACTACTGTGAAACTTGAGATAATTTTGATAGCAGAGCT